TATTTACATAACATAATAATTATTGGTAAACCATGTACAACTCAGAGCAAAAGCTGAAGTGTTTCATGTAACTAAAACAACTCGTGTTTTAAAGGAGACATTTCATGTTTTAAATCCTTCTTTTTCACATTTAAATCATTCAGTTGGTCTATAAATAGTTGATACATAATGCTTTGGTCTGTAGTTATTATTGTAACCCCACAAGCCCTGCCCCTTTTCTGAGGCGTGTCTCAGATCAACTCGTTTTTAGGCTGTCGCTTTAAATCCAAACGAGGTGCTTCACACCCCGCGCCCCCGAGTGGTTCATTCTAGTTTGATAGAGGGATTCATAACTATATAGCAGCGCAGAAACATTTTATTTACAAATTAATTAAAAGTTGTCAACAAGGGAAAACTTGTCCATCCAGAGTCTGACCCAGAGCCAGAGGAAAACCAAGACAATGAAATTATAGTTGGTAAATCCAGACCTTATTTGGTAGTTATGTTGCAAATAACTTGACAATAATAGTTCAGAAAATAGGAAATGGAGAAAACTGAACGAGTTGAAAAATATGATCCAAACAGAATATGAAGAAATTTCTGCAGCACCAGGAGAGACTAAATTTAAATTTTCTGCACGTCTAGAAACTCCAAGTACACAACAAAATGTATTTAACAGTTAAAAAAGTTTATTTTGCATGATATATGTCCCTTTTAAAAATTCATTGTAAGTTAATACTATAGTTTCTATTTTAATATCACATTTTCTTCAAACTGTTATTTATTTTCTTCAACATGTGACCTCTGTTTTATTGGTTCAGAGAATTTTGATCTACTTTGACTCAACTCTGCTGGTCAAACCTCAAAACCACTGAGACATTTTATGAGAACAAGCAGAACTTACCAAAAACTGCTCACCGTCTTCAAAACACACAGAAAGAATGAACGCTGCAAAGATGGATTTTTGATGTTGTTTGGATATTTTAACCAATCAGACCTGCAGAAAAATACTAAAAACATTCAAGCAGCAGCCCTAATGCTGACGAGTGTTTTTATACTGAATTACATAGAGCTGTTTGTTTTGGAGATAGGGTGTCATCATGCACACAAAGGTGACTCCTCTGCCTCACAGAGTAAATCCTCTGACTAGCACTTGTGTCTAATAATGGAGCCCTGCACACTGATGTCATCAGCTTATTGTTTGTGTAATAATGTAGTCGGCGTTACCACTCCGTATTTGTAAGACATCACCCAGCTTCTACTTTTATAGATTTTCCTTTTTTCCATTTAATACTATTTATGAACTGTGCTGGCAAAATGAGTCACAGAGAGGAGTTTTTCTTTGCTGAGTTAATATTGTTTTTAAATTCTGCATCTTAAACAGTTCTAAATGTAACAGTTCGTTGGTATTTGGTGGATTTATCATCAGCTCTGGCAGCAAGCTAAGTTTTTTTTATAAGAATACAAGTTTGAAAATGATTTATATTGGCCTGTGGTGAAGTTGTTGGGAACTCAGCTCTATATTTAAAAGAGGAATCCCTAAGCTTCCCAGCTGACACTATACATTATATAAAGGGCCAAGAGAAAAATGGCCAAATTTAAAAAAAAAATTAAAAGAACTAAAATTAAAAAGATTATTTCTTAAGCCATTCTTGCTGGAAAACTTTTATTTAAAGGCAGATTGGGAAGTGTATATGCTATTTTAGTTACCTGGATTGCTAGATGGTATCTTTATAAACCAATTTTTACACAAATCTCAGTTASATCACGTTTTTTGTGCTCAGTTTGGCTCACTTTGACAACACGGGTCACTTTTTTCATCACTTTTTTATTACCTGCAAACATGATCGGGCGTGTTTCGACACCTTACCGGTGTCAGTCTGACTCAGTGGCTGCTCTGAGGTCGGACCTGGCTCTGTTGTGGAGCTGGCTCGCTCCGATGACCTCACATACAAGCTTTATTCAGCTCAGCCGGGGCAGTGCTTTGTGTCTACAGCATGAAGTCATTGGAGTTGGTTTTAGAAGGGATGTCTTTGTGCCACGACCACAGAGATGCTGCACAGATGGAGAGAGAGAGAGAGAGAGAGAGAGAGAGGATGTAGATTAAAACATCCACAGACTGAAAGTGGCTTAAAACTGTTTAAAAGATTAGGTTTATTTCTTTGTGCCACACGTCTAGTTTCTAAAATATCTTTGTTTTGTTGCTTTTCCAGCATCTCYCAGAGGCATCAATTTTTATATCTCCACTATCTTTCCATTTTTTTGCTTCAGCCGGTTTGAAACTTTCAGACGTTCTTACTTTGCTTGCACACTGTCTGCTCGCAGCTGATTGGCTGTTCTTCTGCACACGGAGGGGGACATTGTTGGGATTTTTACGTGAACCTAAACAGGATTCTCCCGCAGCTCTCAAATATACACTCCACCCATCATGATTGTTGTTTTCAGGAGGAAGCTGATTGTTTAAAGTCGTCTACTTGTKTAAAACTCACTTTTTTCCTTACAAGAAAAGCTTTAAAGATTTCAGACAAATATTTTTCCACCCACCATAACCTTTTCTTRCTGTCTGAGATTCATCAGGACTTATTTAATTAATGAAGTATTTAATAAAAATTCCTTAATAGTTACTTACTTAACGCTCTATAGTATTTCAATGCAATRTTTTAATAGTTAGAGGAGAGCATTTAAGGACTTTCCTGATCAGTTCCCATTCAAAACCCAGAAAAGCAAGTCCATTTACCATTTAGCCCTTGCATTAGGGGTTTTATTTTTTATCAGATCCCTGAGTCATTTATCAGCAAAAGACAGAAAACCTTTAGGATTATCTTTTATTCTTGCATCATAATATCTATCTGTAAATCCCGCGGGGTAAGCTTCCCACCCCGCTGTACTCTACCATAATCTCTAACTTGTAGATATTTTTATATTTGTGCATTTTTTTTGTACCGGTTCAAGTTTTTCATAGGATCTTAAATTGTTTTGCTCACATCTTCATCCACGTGTGATCGTTCTTTAGTGGTGCTGCACGTCTTAAATAAAAGAGAATTTAACTCGATCTTTCTTGTGGACATTTTTACATGGAAGGACTAGTGCAGAAAWATGTGTGGCGCAAACAAAAACATAAAAACACAACGGTTACATACGTTTAAATTAGTTAAGTATTCAATTCTAACCTTCATCCAAATCCACGCTGTGCTAATATTGTGCTAGACAATCCTTGGAGATTGCAGAGAGAGATTAGTAGAGATTAGCATTTGTTTCAGTTTTAGCCATTACTTGTGTAGAGGTCACGTAAAAGTCACCGGATGAATATTCCTGAATCGAACGACTCTGAGGCCTTCATTTGGAAGAGTTCTGCCTTTTAGGCTCTCTGACCTCACAGGAAAGACTTATAAATACAGACTGAGGTGAATGTTTTTACACGTGTGACTCCTTTTGTTCAAGAACAGAAAGGAAGAGAAGATTGGTTCAGCGTGTACATTTGAACATGAGACAATAGAAAGAAGGGGAAGTAATGATGGTGTTTGTTTTATTTATAAATAACCTGTAGATTTCTTTTTTCTTTTCTTTTATCATTATTATTTTTCGTTCTCTTGATCTTTACAAGCACCATGAGCCGACTAAAACAACAACTTTTCACGTTTTCTTGCCTTTTCAGACAGCTAATATRAATCCCAGTTCTCTCTGCTTCTCAGAAACAGGTGTTTGTTTTTGCTGAGCCTCTTCCTTGTGTTTTCTTCCTCGCTGCCTGTTGTAGGTGAACAATGTGGAGGAAAGCCGCAGCATTCAGGACGCGCCGACCCTGCTGGTGTCAGAGAAGGGAGGGGGGCTGCTCAACGCCTCAGCAAACAGCGTCGCCTCCTACCCCCCAGCTAAGGTGGACAGCAGCTCCTATAACGGGGACGACAACCAGTAGGTGACCCCGTTTTCTCAGCCTTGTTGACATAAATGTTTACAGCTTCATGGGGTTTCTCATTTTTGAAAAGAACAACTTAGACATGTTCAAATAAAAAAAAATACAAGAGTAAGATCTAAGTTGAAATTGTCATGCAACATATGCATTTAAATCTTTGTTTTTCACATTAAATCATTCAGTTGGGGTCTATATAAAGTGGAACTGCAATGCTTTGGTCTGAATTCCTCCTTATTGTAACTCCACAAGCCCCTCTTTTCTGAGGTGTGTCTCAGATCAACTCGTCTTGAGGCTGTCTCTTTAAATGCAAATCAGACCGGCCCATTCTAGTTTGATAGAGGGGTTTATGACTATATAACCGCGCAGAAACTTTTTTATTTACAAATGAATTAAAAGATGTRAACAAGAGAAAACTTGTCCATCCAGCCTTACATGTTGGAGCTTAGGGCTGAAACGATTCCTCGAATAATTTGAGTAATTCGATTACAAAAAATCCTCGAAGCAAATTAATCTGCCTCGAAGCTTCGTAAAAAAACACATACTGTTATAACAGCGCACTTTCATCCACCCAGAATGTTATTTGTGTTACACACAATGCTACGATGTTAGCGCTTCCGCTAACAGTTACACTGTCGACGCGTCACGCCTGTATGCTTGCTAAGTGCTATATTTAGCTTTAGAAGAAGATGAAGAGTGCCGAAACGAAGCACCCAAAAAACAACAAATTATAAAAAGCAYGGGAACATTTAAAACTAAACAGAAAAGATGACGACGCACAGTACGCTTCACATCCGAGATGTTTCTGCAGCGGAACAAAAACAGCGGCTGCATGTACCGAACACGTCCGGAGTTAACCACAGGTATTTGTTTACGTTCCCTTTGCAAAATATGTTTACCTAAATCTGTGATGATCTGTCATGTCACAGATGTACAATGAGGAGGTATATTTAAGCTAATGTTATTTGTGCTGACTAATCATGGTGACCTGGCAGGGTTTTATTAAACAGTGTGTAAGTTGTGTGATTAAAAACAAGACTTGCTGTAAGTTTGTCAGATAAAAATAAAAGTACAGCAACAGATTGAAAGCTTGAGCTGAAACACGTTTATTTGTTGATATGTTTTTATCTTAGTTTAAATCATACTTGGAGTAAATATTTCAAGTTTAAAAGTATTTAAAGAAGATACTGTAGTTTGATTTTTTTTATTATTGTTTGCTGCTGCTTTTCATGATTTTAGCCTTCATTACTACAGTCATAATTGTTTATAGCTAAGCAGTCAAGACTAAATCTTTTATTGCCTAAATGGGAACCCTGCATCAACCTAATAACAGTCTTAAAATAATTTTTTGTTGTAATTAACAACTGAACTCTACAAAACTCAACTGCAACACCCAAATGTTTATATTACACATTTTACTTGTTAAATTTCTAACAATTSTCCARTCCATAACAATAAATTTACAGCATTCAGATTTTTCAGTGATGGTTAAAAATGATTCAGTGACAGAGTGCTTTTAATTAATGCCTCCTCAAATCTCACATACATAAATACAAACAAATGGAGTTTAAAATGCATTAATTAATACAAATGGTGTAACTTTAATTTGATGGCAGCAGGGTCATCAGCAGGTGTAGATTACCCCTTCACAATATTAAATAATTGTATTTCCCATAAAATAAGCTTAAATAATTACTGCAGAACATGACAATTTTTTTAATATCCGATTACTCGATTAATCATCAGAATAATCAATAGATTAATCGATTACTAAAATAATCGTTAGCTGCAGCCCTGTTGGAGCCAGAGTCTGACCTCACAGCCATCATAGAAAACTGAATGGGTTGAAAAATATGACACAAACAAAATACAAAGATATCTATGCAGCACTTGGAGAAACTAAATTCAAATTTTCTGCACTTCTAGAGACTAAGTACACAAAATGTATTTAACAGCTAAAAAAGTTTTTTTTTTCATGATATCACACCTTTAATTAAAAAGTGAGTTTTTCTTGTCTATTTGAAGTATTTCACAAGTCAGCACTTATCAGCTGCAACACATTTGTGCTGATTAAATGTCCCAGAACACATTCATACTGTTACAATGCAACAAAATCTTATCACTCCATTAGCTGTTAGCTCCAGCAAGCCTGCATTGACACAGTTATCAAGGTGATTGTGCAAATCTGCCTGGGCTGCCTTGAGCTTGACACTAATTCTTAAAAATATTCAMAAGTTTTTGATTCAGTTTAGAATCGACTCAGATACTGACTGTCCTTACCAATTTAAAAAATGGCCATAAGTCAGTCAATTTCACACACATTGTGTTCAGATTTGGTGTGGTAGTAGCTGAGTCTTACATGAGTGTGTGTAATGTTTGTGTGTTCACTGTAAAGTTCTGCACACAGTGAGTGAAACGTGACTTGTACAAGTGGTTCTAATCACTCGTCTGTTTTAAAGCCCATAAAAACATATTGCCCTGCCCACATCGAGAGCTGTTTGTGACCTTTGAGCCTTTGTTGGATCACCTCTCCCTTTTTTCTTTTTTCTTTTTTTTTCTTTTTTCCCTCCCGAACTCTTTGGGGGTGGAGAATAAGCTGGATGTTTGGGAAGAAATGAGGTTGTTTTTCATCAAAGGTGGGAAATGAGTTCCTGAGCACCTTGTTTTTATTTGTTTTGGGAGCTTTAAAACTGCTGTATGTTTGTGACAAACACTGTCACATACACTGTTAGTTACACAACATCTTTATTACTTTGACAAAATGCTTTCATGTCAGAAATGTATTAGAAATGACCCAAATGCAGACTGTGCTGGCGACAAACACAAAGGGCAAAAGTTCACACACAAACTGGGCTGAGTTTATTCAAAGAACAGAAAACTATTGATTTCTCTCTTAAAAAGAAAAAAGCAAACAGAGCTGCTTTTTCATAAGCAGAAGAATTTTCGCCCGGAGACCTGCAGTGTGCTTTGTTCCTAACATAATTCACTGTTTTATAATAACCTTTAATATCTGTGCCGTTGGATTTGGATCCCTACGTAAATCCCTACAAACCTACCAAATTGAGTGTTTCGTTCAGGGCTTATTAAAAAGCTGCACCTGCTTCCTGTTAGCAGAGGGACTCCATATGGTGCAGAGTAGCAAAAATCATTTTAGAAGTCCATATGGCATCGCTTTGGACTGAATTAGTGCTTAAGCTGCTGGGGTTATTTTGCTTTTGGATGTTCTTGAAGGTGACGTTCATTATTGAAAGGATTTTTGTGAAGTTTTGTATTATTCCTCATTAGAAACAGATCTGAAGTCAGGGTTTAATCCCACTAAACTGGAAAAAAGTCTCAAAATATCTCCATACRTTGTTTCCCATCTGTGCTGCAGGTATTCAGAAAGAACAACCAGCCGGCCATCTGAAGCATTCTCCCACGGCAGGACCAGCTCGAGCCCTTCAGAGGAAACAGGTGGAGGCCGCAGACCCGCCGCCAACAGGGGCAAGAGGCGCAAGCGTAACCCAGAACTGGACGAGTCTCAGTATGAGACAGAATACACCACAGGAGGAGAGACCGGTAACGAGCTGGACCTGGAAGAATGGGAAAGGTGAGAGCTAAAGCTCTGTAACAGTTTATTAAGCTTCTCACTCACTGCTTGGATAGGAGAGAAGACATTAGCAACTGTTTCTCCCTGAAGACCAGACCCACATTCTCTGGTATGAAAAACAAGCTTATCTGACACTAATTTGACTGACTGTTGCAGCAGGAGTATATTTTGTTTCAGTCATCCACAGGGATGGGATCTTAGGCACTTCCTGATATGATCTGATTATAACTTAGAAGGCTGCAGTGTTACAAAACAGTTATCAATACATCTTGATTATCTGMCTTTATCAGGTTTGTGAATAAACAGGAGGCAGCTGGTCAGATTATAGTGTTTGTTTATACAAAACACTGAAACAGAAATCGAAAGTGCAAATTTACAAAATGAACTGTTTGACAGACCAACAATTAGCATAGATGCTAACTCAACATAGAAAACACCATAGAAAAGCTAACACAATTAGCATCACTGGAAATTTCTACACACATTAAATGTTTCATTACTGAATATAGTCAGGTCATAACTTAAACTGTTTTTTACAGAGAGATTCTTCAGGATTTGGTMAAGAAAAGATAAAAAAAATCAAACCAACTTTAAGTACAACATAGAACAATATGATACTTTATAAATTCAGTCTAAAAATACTACACAGGTACAATAGTGTCAATGTAAAAATGTTTATTTTATGCAGTTCTTAGTGTTGGGCAAAATTGTATCATCAGAATCAGAATACTTTAATGATCCCTGGGAGGAAAGTGCAATTATTGCAGCTGCAACCATTTAAATAAGCATTAGAGATAAAGTTTAAAGGAAGAAATATTAGAGCACACAAGGAAAAAATAAATACAAAAACTCTGGAGAACCATAGGAACACAGAACAACATGTACAATAGGTTGCCTTCAGGCCCAGGCCTCTCTTGAAAAAGAGACGAGATCTCAATGGGACTTGCCTGGTAAAATAATGGTTAATTAATAAATACATAAATAAATAAACAAGCATTCTTTAGCATCTATACAGTGTAAATAGAAATAGCAGTGATATACTCTGAAGCTAAAACAGTGTGACTGATGCAAAGGTCCTATCAGATATCATTAGATGATATAACAATAGGTGATGATAGTGATATTGCACATGTTAAATTAAGGTATCGTAGATAAATAAATTGCACAGGTGTATTAAAGTGACAGATGACTTATGATTTCACGTTTCGGGCAGATTTATAGAATTTGAATCATGTGCAATAAATCATCAGAAAAACTGTCAACAATAAATTTTTGCCACTTTGCAATGACTGCAGTCACCCAACCTTATGTGTTATTTGTACTAAAACCTCCATGTCTCCAACATCTATGGTTGAGCTCTTCAGCTGTGAACTCTAAAGATTCTTCTTTTTATCTCATTTCCAGTTGAGCTGCTTCTTGTTTCAACCCTCCACTTTTTTTTAATCTCCTCAACCCCCCTCACATTTTGTTCCTCCAGAATTTACCCAGCAATAACATCGGACGCTCAGCGACACGAATATAAGAGAGAGTTTGACGCAGACCTACGGGAGTACAAGCGCCTGTGTGCCGAGATGGACGACATCAACGATCGTCTGAACAARCTMAGCCGGCAGCTGGACACCATCGATGACACCTCGGCCAAATACCAGGTTTGATAAATACGGATAAATAACTGAGTCATTTTGATTATTGTGAAAAGTTAATGTTGCTAACACTATTATCATATTGTTTCTCCTACTACTTCTAAAAAAAACCCTGATTTTGTAAAGAAACATTCAGTCAGACATTTACACGACCTTCACCAGTAAAATAAAAACAGACTTTTTTACATTTTCCAGAGCTGAGGTACAATCAAGTGTTTTCATCTTATCAAACAAGCTACAGCCTTCATTTTTCCTCCCACTCTTTGAATTCAAGATGGTATTTTTATGAGCACCAGCACATCTCAGTGTTTATGTAACTTTTTATTTTGTTGTATTTAAGCTCATCTGCATATTGCTTTTATATTAACACGTTGTACAGCACTTTAGTTATCAGAATTTTTATTTAAATGTGCTGTAGGAATAGACTTAGATAGGACTCGTCTATATGATAAATATACTGGATTATTTTTTCACAGTTCAGTTACCGAGCCACAGGACTTAATAGTTCAAATATATTGTAAATTAGTTGACTTGCCTGACTGTCTCATATAAAAAGCCCTTTTTCTGGTTTATTTGTGCTACATGACACTTGCCTTTTTTGCAGAAATAGATACATAAAACTTCATGTTTTGACAAACAAATCACTGATAAAGAGTTTGTTGCACCGAAGCAGATGTAAAACAGGAAGGATAACTGTCTTATTATTCAGCTTCTGTGCAAAGGTTAAAAAATGTTTTCATTTCCTCTCAGATCATTGCAGAGGAATATAATCAATTGAAGGATCTGAAACAGGTGAGCAGACTTTTCTCTGTATATTTCATCTTATTTTATTTATGAATGCGTCAAGACTAGGGGTTGGGCATCGACTCTTGAGTATAGTTTGGAACTGGGACTAACGTTACGATTCTCCCAGAATTGTTTGAATTTATAAATTTTGATTTGTAGTTTTTGATACCCAGTCTGCTGACTGAAAGAATAAGCTTCTGAACACCAACGAAGAAGAATATGCAGGTAGTGTGCAGTGTGCTTAAGTAAAACAGTAAAATACGTCTAATACCAACAGTAAGGCAGCTGACGAGTTCCTTATAACTGTAACATCAGCTCAATGACATGTTTTAGTACCTGCAGCATCAGATACTAGACATGTCAATGTGTTTTCATGACGTTTTTAAAAAATAAGCTCTCGTGAAATTGTACCCCCATAAAAAGAAAATTCCTAACATTTATATTCAAATTTATAGGTTTGATATTTATACAATGGTTGATACCAGCCTTGTGAGGAATTCTTAATTTGATTTGATTTGATTTGATTTATTGATTTAACAGGAAAAGATTATTAAAAATCAAGCCTGACTCAGCATAGTTGCTGTTTTACAGCAGGTTCCTGTTCTGCAGCACATAAAACACTCAGAAATACAGCATCACAATCACATCATTATACACCATAGACACAAAGACAAACAAGCATACCAAATTTCAAAAAGGCAGCATTTGCAAAATAGGACGTCTTAATATGAGCACAACAAAAAGTGTCCAGCAGATGGCAGACAAGATTCTTCTTAAAGAGCTGTAGTTTTGAAATGGACTTTATGTTTTGAGGAATGTCATTCCATGCTTTAGTATAAACATAGAAGAAAGACCTCTGGCCGTAACAGTTTTTAAAAGTTGGTAATATCAGTTGTCCTTTTGTAACAGATCTAGTTGAATGACCACTTCCAGAATTTGATTTGGKCAGCAATGCACAGAGAGTTCCATAATTGGCACCTTGGAAGATCTGATTCTTAGTAAATCTCATAAAATGATTACAGAATTAAAATTCTTAGAGATATTAAGACTGTTTCATCCAGAAATAACTCTGTTCATCTACATTATCTGAACCATGGAAACTTTTTTTGACCCTCCTTTTAAAGAGAGTCAGAATCAGGAATCGTTGGGAWCCTAAATCAAAMTGAGGAACCGGAATTGTTCAAATTCAAACAATGCCCAACCCTTGATGCCAGAAAAGATCATAAATCATTTGTTTCTTTTCTATCAGTTTTTCCCTAGAATTGCCTGTCTCTGAGTTTTAAGTTCAAAATCCACCAATTTAATCGACTTCCTGCTGTGTTGTGTCCTGCAGACCCCAGATTACCAGTCGAAGAAGAAAGAGTGCCGCCGACTGAGGCACAAACTTTTCCACATCAAGCGCATGGTGAAGGACTACGACAAGAAGCACTGAAGGACCCACTGCTCTGTTGGCCTGTTGGTTCACACTGCAACAACCTCAGCCGAGAAAACACTCCAGAGTACTGCAGAGACCGGGACACATCGAGACCAAAGTTACAACACACACACACACACACAGACAGAGGGAACAGCTTGTTAAACAAAATATTTAATTGTGTTTTCTTTCATTCTCGAGTCACTCACATACATTTACCAGGACACTGAGTTGTAGCCTCTCCGTCTGTTTCTTTTAAAGAGTAACAACATATTTTCAGATCAGAGGCTGCTGGGAGTGAACTCATCTGATCCTCAGTCAGCTGAGATAACACCTTCATGTTTTATGGCTGGGTTTGCTCTGCAGCATTTGTTTTACCTGCTCGGATAAGAATAAGGAGGAGCAGCGGTATCGGTGGATTGTAGTCATGAGTGAGAAATGCAACGAGGATTGTTTGTCAGTAAAAAAAAACGCAGCTGTGTTAAAACTGTGGCTTGCCCCTTTTTTTTTTTTTTTTACCTTTTTTTACATCATCAGTATTTTCAACTAACTTAACCATCAGAAAAGTCCTTACTGGTGGAAAATCTGTACTGTTTTTATTCTTTTTGTACTGATCGTCACAAACGTAACGAGACCAAAAAAAAAAAAAAAAAAGAGGAGAAACTGAATTATTTTGTGTTGTAGGATGGATTTGTACTTTATAGAGAGAACAAACCTAAATTCTGTATATTGGAGCTTTTATTAGGATGTATAAGTATTAGTACATACTAAAGACTTGTTTTTTTTAATCAGKGTTTGGTCAAAATCAGCTGCAAAATCAAAGTCGAATGAATTTAATTTTTTATCAAAAGCACTCCTCCTTGTATTGATTAATTACAGAAACATCTGTAAACGATTAAATTGTCTAGACACACTATTGATTCTCATTTTTGTAATTTCATGAAGTTTTATTTTATTGTCATTTTACCATTTGTGAGCCATTTATTTTTGTAAGAATTTTATTTTCTTTGTTGCCGCGATAAAWCATTTTTGTAACTGTACACTTTCTTTAAATTATGTTGTCTAAAAAGAATTAAATTAGCTCATAATAAACTTTTTCAAATTCTCAACGAAATGCTTTCATTGATTATTTGATTTTTGTTGATCTGGAGGAGACACAGGTGGTCTGCAGGTAGAGTGAGCGTCCAGCAGGAGGAGCAGGAAGACCACCTAGGAGCTTCAATGAGCTACGAAAGCAAAGTGGTGCTGCCCTCTACTGGTAGGTCTTAGATTGAACTTTACAGCTGTTTTAATATTCTCACCTCAGTTTATACTGTGCACAAAAAACATGCTGCTTTGTGTTGCCTCAAACAGCTAATCTGATGCCATAAATAGTGTTTTTGCTACATATTTAACAGAGATAAATACTCTAAGCTTGGATACTTCAGTCACCAAAAGAACCCATTTATTTTATTGTTGCAGAAAAAACCAGTCGGGTGTATTTAATTTTTATTTTATTAATATTATTATTATGGCATGGTCAAAGAAACATKATCCTTTTAACATGTGAAGCTACACAGTCAAATCACTAAAATTAAAATTCCAACAAATAAAGTGAAGAAGTAGTTTAACAGCGTTAGGGATCAGGACCTTTAATTCATACCGATACGTATTTATTACTGTACTGTCTTCTTGTTTCAGTCTGTTCATTTGGCAACACAAACTTTAGTTTTGTGTCGAGCTGTAGTTCGTGTCACCAACACCCATGAACTGTTACGTTTCTGTGTTTCTGTCTCTCCTAAACACCAGCGTACCTTGAATATTCACATAGTAATTATTTTTAAATGACCTTTACCCATTAGGCTTTTTAAAAGGGAGCAAAATAGGAAAAAAAAAATAAGTAACTTGTTTAAAAAGAAAGGAAACAATAGCTCTATTTCTGCCTCTGTTGATCCCTTTTTATATTTATCTTTTACGCACATGAAGTTCACTGTACAATCTGTGTCTCAGATGTAGAAAACATGAGGTAATAATGTTGGACACGACTGGGTGTGTTTTAATACATTCACATCACTGCTGCGTGTAGGTTCTGCAACACTGGGAGATCTTAAAGGAGCRCTGAATCCTTTACGTACCTCTTAAAATAAAACGCGGCTCGCGCTGCACGAGGACAACACGTTGCAGTCCTTACAAGTATGTTGAAAAGTGTTCATGCAAAAACTTGACACAGTTTATGCTCTGTTCAAGTGAACGCGGCTGCTATGGCTTTGTTCGCACGACACAACAAAGCAGGGAGGACACACAAAGCCCGGGTTCAAACAGAGTCACATTAGAGAGGGGGGGTCRTTATGGGAGGAGGTAGAAGAGGAGCGTGACCTCGTGTGAGAAATCCCCGTCCCACCAAGACGAAGCGAGATCAGTCCGAGGTGAGAACAAAACAAGTGCTGCAAGTGTTTTCTATAAAAACACACCCCCCACTGTGTTAAAATGTCTCGTTTATTCATGACGGCGTGAGCTCTTGATTCCTCCAGAACCGATCCCGGTCCATCTCCCTCTGGAGACCAGGAGGACCGAGGGTTCACTGTCCCGGGGCGTAGGGCCAGCTGATGGAGCTCCCYGACAGCTGCATGTCCCGGATCAGCGTCTCGATGGGCGTCTTGCCCACCAGCCTCATGAAGAAGAGCTGGGAGATGAGGTTGGCCGGCACGGCGCGCAGAGCCGGCAGGCGCAGCAGCAGGCGGCCGAAGCGCTGAGGCTGGTTGGGGTACTGCAGCCTCTCGTACTCGGTCAGGGCCACCTGGGYCTTCTCCTGCAGGGACTCGACGTGGGCCGGGTCTGTCAGACCACAAGCATCTGGAAGGCGAAGACAAACAGAAATGTGTCGTCATGTGATCGCTCTGGTGTTTGGAGTTTATACGTTTACACTTAGCTGCATTTTAACTGAAAACAACTCCGTATTTATGGTTTAATTAAAAAACTGCAAGCAAATCTTCAGGCCAAACCTTTAAACTAGCTTCCATTCATTCATTCATTCATTCATTCATTCATTCATTCATTTCATAAAAATATAAAATAATAATAATTAATAGCAATAATAATAAAACAAAAATAAAAACAGCTTCATGAGTCTGTGTTATGAAGGACTCTCAGATACAGGCCGTCACACTACAGTTTTTAGACAACTTATGAAAAGTTTGTCCAACACTAAAGATATCTAAGCTGAAGATGGATTAAAAAATACTGCAATACCAACCATTAGATCGAATATATAGCTGATATGAGTAAAATAGAGTTGTAAAGTAAGTACAAATACTTTGTTACTGTACTTAAGTAGAATTTTTGGGTATCTGTTTATTATTTTTCAGCCTACTTTTTTACATTTTCACACTATCTGTACTTTCTATTCCTTACATTTTTTAAAAGGCAAGAAGTAGAAAGTTGTTACTTTGATTTCATTTTTGCTTGTTTTCATTCCAGCTTGTTATTGTAAAAAAATAATAATCCATATAAATTGTGCCTCCTAGATAGAGTGAATTTAATTGTGGTTGAATGAGAAGTATAAATATATAAAATTCTGATACCGTA